GTAACCAAAGTAAGTGACACAGAGGGCTGTCAAGAGTAGTATAACCTCAGCCAGGTCTTAAAGAGAACCTGTCACTTTGCATTGAATGGACAGAGATACCCTGGCAATGCAGAATAGGTGTGTGATCTGGTCTCCCCCCCAAGCCCCCCCATCCTGAACCCAGCAAGGAAAGACACAAAGTTAAAATGTAACTGCTCATTATAAGAAAAGAGGCCAACAGCATCTCCGAATATCCGTCCAGAATGAGGAACGTTTTGCACCATCGTCATGCAGCTCGTACTGGAGGCGCCACCGAATATTTCCCTGTAAACACAAAAGAAAGGAAAGTCAGAATCACAGAACGCAGATGGTCAGGGCGTCCTCCGCAGTCAGGTTGCCCCCCCATCCCCCTCCCACCAGGGACACTGGTGACCCACGTGGTCAGGCCGCCCCCCATTGGGTGTCGCAGTGTCAGTGTTTAGCAGAAACCTTAATTCTGTAAACAATATCGCTCTGCGTTCATCTGCCTGTTGAACGATCAATAATAACACCGCGCAGTTATCATCTCCGTGGCAACAGAGTCAATGTTAGAGGAATATAGCACATCGGCTTGTCGGTGCTTTTCACAGCGATGTCTCGGCTCCCTCTAGACTTCATTCTGTCTGCGGCTCTCATCTCCCCGAGTACAGGCAACGCAGGGCGCAGGAGAGGACGCAGAGGGGGCCCGCCACGGGTGAAAACAATGCCATGAGTTTGTCTTTTGGGGCGATTTCCCGTCATTTCCAGTCAAGAAAGGAAGGAAAAGAAAACTCTCCCAACAGCAACCATCTGTTACATCCTCCAACAAGTTAGGTTTTGGGGTTGTTCCCTCCAAAACCTCATTAGGTTCTAAGGCCCGAACTCTACGTTACATTATGGGGTCCCCTCCCACCAAACCTCACAGACTGGGGTGCCCCCCTTCAAAAGGTTTACAGTCTGGGGTCTTCTTCCCCCCAAACCTCACATTCTGGGGTGCCCCCCTTCCGAGCTTTACAGTCTGGAGTCCCCTTCCCCCAAACCTCATTCGGGGGTTACAAAGTGTGATGTTTAGGGGGAAGGGGAATATGGGGTAGCCCACCCTTCTCAGGTTCCCTTCACCCCCTAAGCTTACATGCTGAGGGTCCCCACCCCCAAACCTCACATTCAGGGGTGGCCCCCCTTCCAAGGATTTACAGCCTGGAGTCCCCTTCCCCCAAACCTCATTCTGGGGTGCCCCCTTCCAAGCTTTACAGCCTGGAGTCCCCCTTCCCCCACACTTGGGGTTACAAAGTGTGATGTTTAGGGGGGAATATTGGGTTGCCCACCCTTCCAAGCCTCACATTCTCAGGTTCCCCTCCCCCAAACCTCACATTCTGGGGTGCGCCCTCTCGAGGCTCTTTCCGCAATAGGATCCCCTGCGCCTCATTAAATTGGGATGTCCCCCTCTCCTGCTCAGGGTTCTTCCCATACATGATCCATCAATGTGATAAGAGCGCCGCTCACCAGTAGGCCCAGTTCAATGTTCTTTTTTTCTGGTGGAAAGCTAAATATCAGTAAAATCCCCGCACAGGCAACAGAGACCATCAGAAATACGTTAATAAGGAAAATCCGACTTACTCCTACACCAAGATGGCGGCGGCGGCAGCTTCATTCCTCTGTTTCCTTTACCAACATGGCGACAGCTTCTCCAGCGCTCGACGATAATGGATGATGAATTCAAGGACAACGGTAGAAAATCAATACGGGCAAGCCACACCCATTTTACCCGCCACGGTTGTTGATTGGTTTGCTGTAAGCGATGGAAAAGCGCCCACCCAATGAGCGTGCTGTGTGCGTTTCTTCCCCAGCCCACACATTTCAGCCAATGAACGGCACCGTGGGCGGAGCGGCACTGTGTTACGGCTGCCCGGTTGGGACAAGAAGCTTCCTAGGGTTGGACGCGGTTCGGTGACAGCGTTAATATGAGCTGGATGTTGTCCCGAGTGTCGGCGGTTGTGCGCCTCCCGGCGGTCAGCCGCCTGCTGAGTACCAACTCCCGGGAGCACTTGGAGGGGCTGGTGAAGAAGGACAAGGTGGTGGTGTTTATAAAGGGCACTCCGGCCCAGCCTATGTGCGGCTTCAGTAACGCCGTGGTGCAGATCCTCAGGATGCACGGGGTGGAGGACTACGCGGCTTACAACGTGCTGGAGGACCAGGACCTCCGCCATGGTGAGCCTGTCATAGGAAAGGGGGGCTATAGGGCCCCACCGTGGTTAGAAAGTATCGTTTGGGGTACACAGGGGTCAGAGGATATCTGTAGGGGTCCATAGGGGTCAGAGGATATCTGTGGGGTCCATAGGGGCACACAGGAGTAAGAGGGTATTTGTGGGGTCAGAGGGGTCCAAGGGGGGCACACAGGGGTCAGAGTATAGCTGTGGGGTCCATAGGGGCACACAGGGGTCAGAGGATATCTGTGGGGCACACAGGGGTCAGAGGATATCTGTGGGGGCACACAGGGATCAGAGGGGTCTGTAGGGGCACACAGGGGTCAGAGGATATCTGTGGGGGCACACAGGGATCAGAGGGGTCTGTAGGGGCACACAGGGGTCAGAGGATATCTGTGGGGTCAGAGGTGTACATAGGGGCAGATGGGCTCAGAGCATATTTGTGGGGTCAGAGAGGTCCATATGGGCACATGGGGTCAGAATATCTGAGGTTCCATAGTGGCACACAGGGGTCAGAGGATATGTGTGGGGTTGGAGGAGTCCATTGGCACATATAGTGGCTAGATGGGTTCTATAGGGCAGCACTGCGGTCAGAGGGGTTCTGTAGGGGCACACAGGTTTCAGTGAGGCCTAGAGGGTCTATAGGGGCACACATGTTTCAGAGGGGATATATTGGCACACATGGTGGTCAGAGGGGTTCTATATGGGCACACAGGGACCAGGAAGGCCTAGTGGTTCTATGGGATACATCAGGGTCACTGGGTATCTATGGGGTAGGAGGAGGGCTGTAGGGACACACTGGGGTCAAATAAGTCCTTTGGAGCCAGAGAGGTCATGAAGAACCTAAAGGGTTTCACAGGATTTAGAGGGAGCTTGTGCGGACAGAAGGGTCTTTGTAGGGACACGCATGGTTCGGGGGTGCCCTATGGAACCAAAGGGATTCGAGGGGGGAGTATGTGGGGTTTGCACTGGTCAGACGAGTGCGATGAGGTTGCAGGGTACCTCTGTGGTCATATAGCGCCTAATGGGTTACACAGGAGGTGATTGGGGTCACACAGGGGTCTGATGGGACATGTGGGGTCACAGAATACTTGTATTTGCTGCACACAAGGTCTGTGGGGTTACACGTGGGTCACAGGGAATCTGCAGGGCTCTTAATAGAGGAAGTCTATGGGATCACACAGGTATATATGGTCAGATGGCATCTGAGGGGGTCACAGGAGGGGAAGCGCGGTCCGTCACCTATGTTTGACCTCCGGCACAATGTCTACTTTGGGTGCATACAGCTGGCCAGAACTGAGGAGTGCACATTGTCAACATTTTGCTTATTTATGAAAACCTCCAGAGTTGTCTGTGGCGGTCGGTTAGATCTCACGTTTCCTCATGAAGCTGGAAGTTCGAGAACCAAAGCTGACATTGCCATGGACATTGGATTTACGTCTCCAGTGCCCCGGCATTTTTGAGTCGCCCGTCTTCCTCAGGTCATACATTGTGACTCTCTGTTGATGATGCGGTTGTCACCCTGAAGATTTTGGGTTAGTTTGTTTGTAAGCCCGATCACATGTAAGTCCTCATCTCCCTTCTGCTATAGTCATGAAGAGCTTCTTGTATTCTGTCCTAATAACAGTTCATAACACTTTGATACATTGTGACCTTGTGTGGTCCTTGCCGAGACTCTGAAGGACACGTTCCCGGCACACCTTGCACTAGTGATGGCGGTCCTTCTAGATCTCCGAGTATTGTCATATGTGCTCTAGGTATCAGTTGGTCTCCATGAAAATGGCTGAATTGGGTGACCGTCTTGTATATTTATACCTAAAAAGTATAAGCCGCCCAAAAACAGAAGATGAACATCTCCCAATCTGGTTGTCTTTAGGCCTGGTTCACACCTTTCCGTTTTGTAGCGCGTTCAACGCTCTATGAACGCTCTACAAAACGTACAAACTTGAAAACCCCATTGTTTTCTATGGGCATGGTTCACACCTTTCAGTATTTCAGCCCGTCTGAACTCGCTACAAAACGGCCTACGCCCAAAGAAGTACATGTACTTCTTTGGGGCGTTTGGTCTCGCGTTTCCATTGGGATACAGCCAAGTAGCCCTCGGAAACGTGCGTTTGTCGAATCGCGGTAAAAACGCGCGACAAACGCGCATATTCAATACGCCTATGTGTGAACCCAGCCGTAGACATCTTGGTTGACTTTCCGTATCTTTGGCATCTCCAAGAAGCCTGGCAGCCATTGTGCCAGTGAAGCCATGGAGCTGCCTGCCTGCTCCTTCTTTCCTCTCCAGTCTCCAATAACATAAAATATTGTATGCCGGGCCAAGTGTTCAGCTTTACAAAGGGTACTGAGTGCAGTCTGAGGACATTTGGATGAAGTCTACCTTATGACAGAAGAGGAATTCTAAAGAACATCCTACATAAAGGTGGCCACTGTACAAGACTGGTGGGATTTCTATTGTTATGTGGTGGAGTCTGTTGGTGTGACTCAATCGCTATCTTGTTGTAACTCTTGGGAGACTCCAGTGCCAGAGCTCAACGTTTTCTGTTCAGAGCATTTTTGTAACTGTAATAATTAGTTAAGGTGTACAGACCTGGGAACTCAGCACAGGGATGGTGGGGACCCCTTATAATGGGCAAAGCAGGTGTACAGACCTGGGAACTCGGCTCAGGGATGGCGGGAGCCCCTCATAATGGGCACAGCAGGTATTCAGACCTGAGACCTCAGCTCAGGGATGGTGGGAACCCCTCATGAAGGGCAAAGGATATGTATAGACTCAGGAACTCAGCCCAGGTATCTCCCCAATAGAGCCCCCCCCCAAGAGATCTTGGAAACCACTTTCTGATTAAACTCTCCAGCGTCTCCCAAAAACTGAAGGACCAGGTTCTGGTGAATTGTTTATATAGTTATATTCTCCGACACGCACGCTTTGTTTCTGGGGGCGATTCGTGAGGATTTCACATAGTTTCCTCCTGAGCCGATTAGTACCCTATGCCGCCTTTCACCATATTGTCATGCGTAGGGGCTTTGGCTTCTAATGTCATGTGACCCCCCCCTTCTGCTATCAATGCTCTCCTATAGGCCGTATAGTGGTGTGGCCGCTGAGTGTCTGGTGACACGGGTGTGGGTCTGTGCGATTACACAACTCAGCCTTGCATGTTAATCTATCAAGATCTGAACTGTGACTTGGCACTTTTTTTTTTTAGTCCTGACACAAGTAAAACGCAGAGCCTCGTGCTTTATAAAAAGTTTCTGTGCTGCTGTCCACAGCGACCAATCAGCTTCTTCCTTCCATGGATTACGAAGGGTCTAGTATTGTTGTTGCACGTGTGTTCACATCTACTTTCATACTCTTAACTCCCGTTGGATGCGAATCCTTATGCTTGTCGATGCTCCACCGGGGATTAGTTAAAATGTGCAATTGTTACCATTATTTTATATTGGGACTCTCTGTACCAGGTCTATGTTTTTGCAGAGCAGTCATGTGACTTGCATAGAAGTAATGGGGCACATGCACATTGTACTGGAATCCACCATGTGGTTAGGAGGGTGTTGCAATGACTCCTGACCGATCACATGGATAAGATATCTCGCCGTCACACCAACAAGCTTGTTCCAAACTCGTTATCCTTGTATGATCACTTTGAGCAACGTTTATGGACCTTCCAGGGACCCTTCCTCAGGCATATGAGCACATAGACACTCTCTTTGGACGTGCTTATGATGAAACATACACTATATTGGCAAAAGTATTGGGACGCCCCTCCAAATCATTGGATTCAGGTGTTCTGTGACATTTCCTTGCTACTAAATATTCCGCGGTCACCTGTTAGTGATGTTATAACAAAGTGGGAACAACAGCAACTCAGCCAGGAAGTGGTAGGCCACGTAACATGACAGAGCGGGGTCAGCGCATGCTGAAGCGCAGAAGTCGCCAACTGTCTGCAGAGTCAATAGCTACAGACCTCCAAACTTCGTGTGGCCTTCAGATTGGCACAACAACAGTGCGTAGAGAGCTTCATGGAATGGGTTTCCATGGCCGAGCAGCTGCATCCAAGCCTCACATCACCAAGTGCAATGCAAAGCGTGGGATGCCGTGGTGTAAAGCGCGCCGCCACTGGACTCTAGAGAAGTGGAGGCGTGTTCTCTGGAGTGACCAATCACACTTCTCTGTCTGGCAATCCGATGGGCGTGTCTGGGTTTGGCGGCTGCCAGGAGAACGGTACTTACCTGACTGCATTGTGCCAAGTGTAAAGTTTGGTGGAGGGGGGATTATGGTGTTGGGTTGTTTTTCAGGGGTTGGGCTTGGCCCCTTAGTTCCACTGAAGGGAACTCTTAAGACATCAGCACACCAAGACATATTGGACAATTTCATGCTCTCAACCTTGTGGGAGGAGTTTGGGAATGGCCCCTTCCTGTTCCAACATGACTGTGCACCAGTGTACAAAGCAAGGTCCATAAAGACATGGATGGGGGAGTTTGTGCGGCCAGTCATGTTCCTCCCCCCCAGAGTCCTGACCTCAACCCCATAGAACACCTTTGGGATGAATTAGAGCGGAGACTGAGATGCCCCTCCCCCAACATCAGTACCTGACCTCACAAATGGTCCAACATTCCCATAGACACACTCCTAAACCTTGTGGACGCCTTCCCAGAAGAGGCGGAGCTGTTATAGCGGCAAAGGGCGGAGCCAACCCAATACTGAACCCTACGGACTAAGACTGGGATGCCATTAAAGTTAATGTGCGTGTAAAGGCGTCCCAATACTTTTGGCAATATAGTGTATGTTCAGGCTCTCTGATTAAATTGTGCAGCAACCAAGAGTAAGAGATGGATTGTGATTGGTTGCTGTGGGTTCTGTCCTTTTTTAGCACATTTTTAGCGTGCTTTTCTATAGAATAAGCCTGCGATGTCACCTGATGCTTGGTCCAGAATATTTTTTAGCTGAATAACGTCTTTATCTTCTTGCAGGGGTGAAGAGCTTCTCCAACTGGCCCACCATCCCGCAAGTGTTTCTGAACGGGGAGTTTGTCGGAGGCTGCGACATCCTTCTTCAAATGCACCAGAACGGAGACCTGGTGGAAGAACTGAAAAAGATGGGCATTCGTTCTGCGCTGCTAGATGCTCAGCCCAATCAGGAGAGGAAGTAAGCAAGGAACCCGTGTTTGTGTGAACTGTTTATCCAGAGCGAGGCCTGTGCTCACCAGAGAAGCCTTATTTATCACGGTGAACTATCGTACCCATTCGTTATTGTCCGCTCATCTCATGGAAGACCTGTGAATGGGGTACCACGAAGCCACTTGTCATTGCCGCCCTAGTGGACATGCGGTCTATAACGGGCGGTTTTCTACCATTGTATTATAGTCGGATGTTGACCACTGTTCTAGAGAGAGATGCATTTATTACGTGAGAATGTAACATGATAATAAAATATTTACTTCCATAGATGAAAGATCCTCTTGCGTCATATTTTTACCCTTCATTTGGAAGATTGGTTTGGCCTGTGGGTTATAGAGGTGCGTTCTGCATGGATATCATCCTCGTATCATTTATAACCTTGTCACCGATATAAAACATTCTTCTTCCAGATCAATGAGTGACTAGAGCAGGGGGTAGGCAACTCTGACCCTCCAGCTGTTGTGGAACTGCAAATCCCATGAGGCATTGCAAGACTCTTCACGGCCACGGGTGTGACTCCAAAATGCAGGCACATAGTATTTGAGGTTGAATAAAGACATGAGTCCATCAAGTCCAACCTATTAGGATCTCATTCTAGGAGTACCTGTACCCCTGTATATTACCTGTACCCCTGTATATTACGGTCCCTTAAGAAATCGTCCAAAAGTTTCTTGAACAATTCCACATTATTTGCTGAAATCACCGCCTGTGGCAGTGAGTTCCAGACCCTAACTGATCTTACTGTGAAGAACCCCCTTCGCCCCTTGTGCTGGAATTTTTTTTCCACCAATTTTAGGTGGTGGCCTCTAGTTTTTGTAATGGAGTTAATTTTAAACAGTTTATCGCTAATGTTGCTGCCACCATTGAACATTTTGTACATGGAAATCATATCCCCCCTTAATCTCCTCACCTCTAATGTGAACATGTTTAAATTTAGTAGCCTTGTCTCGTAGCTCTGGTCCTCCATACCCCTAATTAGTTTGGGATTTGTAGTTTCTTCAAAACTGGAGGGCCAGAGTTTGTTTACTCCTGAACAAGAGTGACAATACTCAACCAGGGTTTGGTGGAATGCTAGAAGTTACTTCAACAGTTACTAATTAACCCCCCACCTGATGATGCCTGCATAGTTCCAATGATCTTTTTCGGCTGTCAAGGGAGGCATTCTGACCACCACTCTCGGG